CAACTTAAGCCCCCCCCCCCCCCCCCCAGGGAAATGGTTATCACCCGCAGGAGGTTTAGAAATGACCACTTTAATGTCTGCTTTGACTGGTGCTTCACAGTGCTTCTGGCCGTGGGAGCTTTCAGAATACTGCACTGAGAGGGAAGGCACAGGGCTTTCCTGTAGGTTGTTACTGCCACAGGGTATGTACAATATTATTTTTCAGTACCTCTTTAATGCTTCCTAGGCTCCCCTCGCCATGATTGTATTGCAGTCTCTATTAGCATGCAGAACGGTGGGTTCCACATGCTGTTTTTGTTTCTCTAGTGCATCCATGGAACAAAACTATTGGGTGCAACTTGAGAGAATGGAACTTAATCACACAAACAGTTCTTGGAATTGTTTGTGGAACTGCCTCCGTTGATTTTAAAATTGCTAATTAGTAGATACCCACATCAGTTCATTATTTCGCCGATATGATTGTGTGTAACAGCCTGGCATTTAATGTAGTTAAAGCTTGTCAAAGGTTGAACGGGTTTTGATTAGTTGATTCTACAGTTGCAGGATGAAGCTTGGGTTTTTAAAAGCGCTTATTCGAAATGGGAAAAAGTATTTAACTAAAATGTAAAATACTGTACCAGTGTTCTCTGCATATGTGATCTTGAAATGTAACCACAGTGAATTATTGATTTGAATGGTCAGTGAATTATTGATTTAAAACTCCATTTGAAAGCAGAGTGAGTTCTGCTGTGCCAAGCAGTGTGACGTACACTTAACTCCAAACACAGCGTACAGGATAGCTTTCTAATGTAAAAATTGGTGCAATTGCCTTTAATGGAGCAAGTGAAATGAGTAACGCAGCCACATCCTGAAACCCAATCCTGCAGCCCTTACTCACGTCAGTGACAGAGCATGGACCCTGCAGATGACTGGAAGCCAGGAAAGCTGGGCTCTCTTCTCGCCTCTGCAAATGACCTGTTAGTGATGTTACCTCACCTCTGTGAATCATTTTCCTTATCTGTAAAATGAGGACAATGAGATTTTCTTTCCTTTGCAAAGCTCCTTGAGATCCCAGTGTTACTATTATTACTGACCTGTGTAAGAGATGCAGGGTTAGGCAGTGGGCTGGCTGCTGTTTCTAAAGTGCACTCTTGTAGGGTGCAAACCCATGCATTGAGGAGCACGCTCAAGTCCCTGTCTTAAGTTGGACTAGAGAGTGCTCAGCATCTTGGAAAGTCAGGCCCCTAGACCTTTGTGCTCCCACTGCAGTGGGTGGCAGATATCCCACAGATTTCACTGGGAGCAGAATCAGGCCAACAGATGATAAAATCTTATCAGTGAAAGTCAGTTGCTTTGATGTTTACAGAAGGCTGTAACTGTCCTTCCTAATCGTGTTGAACCATATCAGTTCATGATCTGTATCGTCTGCCTTTTAATTTTTCAGAGTTTATAGTTGAGATACAGATGACTAGATAACTAATCCTTACCACAAGGTGTTTAGAATTACTAGACACACAAGGACAAGAGCCAGCTTCTGTTACCTTTAAATTAACAGTC